CTGCTGAAACATAAATACATGATTTCCAAATTGATTCAACTTGTAATATGTCTCTTAGAAGTAAGAAGTTGTTTTAGTTCTGTGGACTGTTGAATTGCTCTTTAAATAAATATCTCCTCCATCTTAAAAAAAAAAAACAAAACGGCTTCTGAACGGCATTGACTCCTTCAGTGTGGGAAAGCAGTCTTGGCAAACTTGTTTCCAAGACTCCCTCCAAGGTGATTCATTCCATCAAGTCTATAATATCTCCAGATCTACATGTCGAACTTCAGGATTTCGTTTCTGGAAGGAAAAAAATCACCGCTACATTATTAATAGCAAAAGACAATTTTCTGTTTCCTTTTATTCCTTTTGGTCACTAAAGCCAATGAAAACATTTGGTCAAACTATTTCATTGTAGCATACTAGCAAGAGAAATATTTACAGAGGGAAAAACATAAGATCAATAGATGAATAGATCAGTTATACACTATAAAATACATAGTAAGTAGTCCAGTCTCCCTGAGTTTTGTCCACATGTTCATTAATACAATAATGGATTAAGAATCTAGTATGTGCCAAGCACTGCAAAGCACTGGAAATATGCTCATCTGTGGTGAAAATCACTGCAAAGCAATAATAATTGAAAGACTAAATTGATATTAACTTATTTTATATGTTCTAGTAACAATCCATATAGTCTTGATCTAGCACTGTGCTAGAAAGCAGAGCTATCATTATTAAATAAGACTCTGCTCCTTACCCTGAGGGACTCAGTTTAGCCAGAGAGAAAAATGTATGAATAACCTCTACGAGCAAAAGCATTATAGCTAATAGGGACTTCCCTGATGGTCCAGTAGTTAAGACTCCACGCTCCCATTGCAGGGGGCCTGGGTTTGATCCCTGGTCAGGGAACTTGATAGATCCCACATGCATGCTGCAACACAACTAAGAGTTTGCATGCCACAACTAAGGAACCCATGAGCCGCAACTAAGGAGGCTGCCTGCCCCAACTCAGACCTGGCACAGCCAAAAAAAACCAGCATTATAGCTAATAATAATAACCAGTTAACATATATTGAGCGGTTACTCTTGTGTCAAGTACTATGCTAATAATAAGTAAGGGGCTTCACGGAAAGTGTGTTTTAAAATCCTCATAATAACCCAATTATTTCTATTTTACATATGGGAAAAATGAAGGTCAAAGAAATTAACTAACCTGTCCAAAGTCACACAGCTAGTAAGTGATGGAGCCAGGACAGATTCCAGGCCTGACTCCAGACCCCAAGGCTCCTATTTTAATGTACTAAATAATAACTCTGGAAACAAAAACATGAGATTACTTTTGCTCATGAGATCCAGAAAGAATTCACAGAGGATATAGTATCTAAACAAGGTTTGAATACGGTGAATTTTCCAGATAGATGATGAAAAGGGACTAGACGAAAGAAATAGCATGAGCAAAGTCAAGAGAGCCTGGAAAGTATGCATTAGCAGTATGGTATAGTTAGCACAGCAGCTGCAAAAAGCAATGAGGTTGGAAAGACAGGCAGAAGCCAGATTGTGAAAAACCTTAAGGAATTTCATTAACGATGAAAAACATATTTTTTAAAAAACATTTATTTATTTGGCTGCTCCAGGTCTTAGTTGCAGCACGTGGGATCTTTGTTGCCACGTGTGGGATCTTTAGTTGCAGCATGTGGGATCTAGTTCCCTGACCAGGGATCGAACCTGGGCCCCCTGCATTGGGAGCGCAGAGTCTTAGCCAATGGACCACCAGGGAAGTCCCCAAAAATATCTTTATTATATGCCTACACTGTACCAAGCACTGAAGTATACAACAATGAACGGGAAATAAACAGCACTTGCCTTGAATGAACTTATCTCTAGTGACGAAATACAGGTAAGTAAGCAGGCGATTGTAATAGTCTCCTACGACAGAGCAAAGTAAAGATTTGAGGGGATTTTTCCCCTATGGATACATAAAGGAAGGACATCTAACACAATGTGTGTGGGGGGGGTAATTAAAAGTTTAATAAAGTGAATATAATGATATTGTGAGACTGTAGGACAGAAGAGACTTATAAAATAACTAAACCTATACCTACCTAAGAGGAAATGTTTAAGTTAGGAGGAGCAATGTCAGATTCTTACGTAGAAATACAGCAGTAAATATAAAAGGAATACTAAAAGTATTAAAAATGGTTCTCTCTAAAATGTAGAACTAACGACTGAGGAAGGCAAGGCAGGTGACACTTCTGTATAAGCTTTTCAGTTCTGACTGATTTTGTAAACTGTGTATTATTTGATAAAAACTGTATAAATAAATCAACAAGGGGAAAAAAGCTCTTCTAAGGGATTCTAATAGTCAGTCAGGATTAATAATTCCTAGCTTACAAAATAATATCCCAGGAACATTTGCATATCATTCATATTAAACGAATTTAATTATAAGGACAAAAACCTGGTATAATACTGGAGTGTAGCTCCAGCTACGGCACTCATTCTGTTTAGTGTGCACTGGGATTTTTCTTACAACTAGTGCTGGTCAACTGTACCTAGGGTGCTTTTTCCTCTTGGGTCCTAAGGTAAGAGTGACCAGGGACCCCACAAGGAGGTGGCGGATGATACTTTTGTTCTCAATGTTTTCTTTATCTTAAACTATTCCCTCTGTCTAGAATTTCTTATATTCAATATGGAATAAAAAAGACTTCCTCAAACAGAAATGAAACTGAATTTTATTTTCCCATTCCAATCAACCCTTACTCATCCGAATACGACTTGAAACATTTTAGCTGTTCATGGAAAAGTTTAAAATTATTCAATCTAAAAAGCACTACATAATAAATGTGTACTAATAAAAATCTGATCTTAAGAAAAAGAAACTAAAAAGTTAATTTACTCTGCTTTTTAAAATCAAGTTTTCAGAAAGAAAATTAACCAAATTCCTAAAATGTATGTGTCCATTACAAAGCAGACACAATGTGTTTGCTGAATGAATGAGAAAAGAAATAGGATTAATATCCTTAAAATTTAATGTTTAGTGTGTAACAAGATATCATGTGCATAGTAGAAATTAATATATTCATAAATATATAATTGTTAAATAGAACTGAAAATCAATAATTGGTGTCCAACTTATAATTTTCATTCATTTTTTCACCAAATACTTATTGGTCTCTTATGTCCCAGGCACTGCTCAATACGAATTGGAATATTTTACACATCACAATTTTTTTTCCAACACTCATATTATACAGAGATAAAAACCAAATTACATAATTTATTTTACAATGCTGTAGACTCAAGTAAAGAAAATACTACAGGAGGATGTAATTAGAGATGCAAAAGACATAGTAAAGGGCAGAGCATTTAACTGGAATTTATTAGAAATTTGCTATGGCATCTTCCCACTGAATTAATTTCCAATAGAATTATTTCCCCCCCAAATAAAAAAACTTCATGGAGATATAGGACAAGGGTCTATCTACTGATTGAATATAGAGGTAGAACAACAACAACAACAAAAATCTACGTTAACAATTCAAAATTTCAAAATAAGAACAAGATGTATTTCACATTATAATATGGGACTTTATAAATTAGCCTCTATTATTTGTAACATCTTAACACAGCACTATGTAAGTTACAGACTTCAAGCCAAAAATATCGCCTGTTCTAATACTTAGATCAATGGTATTTACTCAAAGAGATGGCTACAATGCTGCAGAATTTTATCACTGAGTGTGACCTTCCAAAGTAATTCAATAATTATTAAAATTTAAACTTAGAAGGCAACTATGCTTAGATACTAAAAAGGAGCAAAAATACCAATGTACAAAGTTTTTGTTTTCAAAAGAAAATCAGCTTATTTTCATGCATTCTCTTGGTCTGGTACCTTAACTATGAAGAACTTTCTTTTCACTTGAGATTAATTATACCTTATTACCACCTTAGGGATGTTTCCACCTGAAAGTGTAGGCAAAGTGTGGCTTCTTGGTTTGAAAGACTTACATAATTCAAAAACACGAGATAATTCAATCTATTAATGATTTAATAGCTTCTAGTTAAAGCACAAAATTAGCTAAAAAAAAAAATAATAAGAATATCTGATTGTGATAAGAGTAAGTACAATTAAGAATGGCCAACTTGTTAATTATTCTTAAATCGGCTTCTGACACTGTTTCTATTAAAGAGTAAATCCAAAATAGTTAGTTTTAAAAGTCCATTATTTTCCTTGCCAGGGAAATAAAAACAGATAGAATGGAAATGAAACATTTATTCATTCTCCAGTCACCTTGCAAAAAAATAATCATCTCACATTTTATTCAGAACAATGGTATTCAAAGTGTGGTTCAAGGATTACTGGGTTACTGAGACATTTTCAGGGGGGACTCCGAGGTCAAAACTATTTTCATAATTACAGTAAGATATTTTTTGCCTTTTTTACTATGCTGACATTTCCTCTGATGGCACGGATACAACTGCTGGCACCTTCACACAACTCCAGGCAACTTGCATCAAATCATACTGGTAGTCATTGTGTTCCTTTATTGCCACCCAGTTTGTTTTTTTTTAAAAAAAGCCAGTTTCACTTTAAAATGTCCTTCATAAAAAGTATTGATTTATTAAACTTCAACGCTTGAATACACTTTAAAAAAACATTCGGTGACAAAATGGGAAGCTGTGCTTCACGATGAAGTCTGATGCTGTCACAAGGGAAAGCATCCCTGTGATTGCTTGAATGAGCTCAATCAGACGGTTTTTATCTCAACACCCTTTTTACTTGAAAGAATAACTAACGAACTATGGTTATTCAAATTTGGGTATTTAGCAGAGGCATCTTCTTAAGAAATAAATAAAACGAGTCTACTACTTCAAGGAAAACAACAGTATTTGTTGCTAATAATAAAATGCAAGCTTTCAAGTCAAAATTAGAATGTTGAAAAACTCATATCCACCACCATGAGCCTGACAGCTTCCCACTACTTAGAAATGTATCAACATTTGCATGATGTGCATAAATTCAGTGAGCCAGTATTTTCCAAATGACCAATTCATAATGTTAAAGAACCAAGCATGGGTTAAAAAGATTCAATCAGACAATAAAGATGTTAAAAAGAAAAAGATTCAATCAGAGTATAAAGACAGACCAACAGATTTTAATATAATAGTGTATAGGAGACTGCTAATCATACTCAAAGCGAGGTCTGGCCTTTGCTCTTGGCTATTGGGAGGTAATCTCTAGGTCCTTGGAATATTCTGCCTGATAATTATGTCTTTGTTTATCTTTGTCCACACAGTATCTGCTCTACCTCCAGAAGCGGGTGGAAACTAAAGGTGTCAGCTCTTCCTGAGAGGGGCTGGAGATGAAAGGTCATCCACTCAAGCAGTCAACTACAGAGCCCCAAGAACATTTCTGGACACCAAGGCTTGGTTGAGCTTCTGTGGTTGGCAATACTCCATGCAAACTGTCACACACCACTGTCAGGAAAATAACACCGTCCATGACTCCATGAGGAGAGGACAAGTGAAACTCCAGGTTTGGAACTCTGCCCTATGCATCTATTCCTTCGGCTAGTTTTAATCTGTATCCTTTCATTAAAATAAACCATTCAGTGAGTTCTGTGAGTCCTCCTAGTGAATTATCAAACCTGAGGGTGGTCTTAGGAACCACCTGAACTTTGCAACTGGTGTTAGAAATGAAGGTGGTCTTCTGGACTGTGCCCCCTAACTTCACAAACAGTATATGAAAAGTTCATCGATATGGTTTCAGATTTCACAGCACAACTATGCTTTAAGAGGTTACCGGTTGTCAGGTTTTGATGTAATATTAAAAGAGAATACTAAGTATCTGGAAAGACTATAAGAATACTTAAAAAGCCTCCTCCTTTTTCTTCATATTCTTCAACCAAAATAACGTATGGTAATAGACTGAATGCAGAAGCACAAATGGGAATCTAGCTGTCTTAGATTTTTGTAAAAATGTAAAACAATACCACTCTCCTGTTTATTTCATTTTGGAAACTATAGTTACTTTCCTTCAAACTGTTATTTATATTAACATGAAATACGTTTATTATGTTTTCTAAATGAATAAATATTTTTAAATTTCTCAATTTTAATTAATAATTTGGTAAATATAAATAAATATAACTAAAAAAACCTGAGTCCTCAATAATTTTTAAGAATCCTAATATCAAAATATTCGAGAATTGTTCATCTAGAAATTCTGAAAATCATGCCTGATAAGCTCATGAACTATAATATTAACATTAACAAAATCATCTCTTTTGAAGTGCTTCTATTAATCTGATCACATATCTAGATTCTAAAAGATAGTAAAATAGTGATAGAAATGTTTCCCTTCAATTTTTGTCTTTGTTTCTCTTCAATTTTTAACAAAACTAAACAAAAATCAACATCAGCTAAAGAAAATACATTGCCTTCAACAAGTTATAAACGTTAAAGATCATTTACAAGTTTTCTTCATTGCAAACAGTTAGAATTCAAATGTCAATAAATGACAATTTGAGAGCACTGACACTTTTTTAAAGGCACTCTGGTTAGGTAATATTTCAGTAAAAAACTAACAGGTTGTAATGATCTCCAACTGAACAGAAACAAACAGAAAATATAAAATAATGTCAGACAGGCTAAAGCAGTATGTATGTATATGTTTAAGGTCACACTCTTTTTTAACTTTAAAACAGAGTCTAAAGTTTCCCTTTTACCTTTCTCTAGAAATGTTAGAAACGCTTCTTATTTAAAGACAAACAAGAAAAAAAACGATTATTTTAGAAACTAAGCAAGCAGTATACAATAGTGGTTAAAAGTATGGAATTTGAAATTGAACAGCAAAGGTTCAAATCGCAAGTCCTATACTACCTTGAGTATATTATCCAACTTCTCTAACCCAATCATTTTCTTGCCCACAACTACTGATACATCATGGGGTTACTGAGAAAATAAAAGCATACAACTGATGCAATTAGCATAGTGCCTGACACAGATAAGTATTCAAAAAGTAGCTGACACTGTATTATATTATTATTATAAATATATCTTACTTTCAGTTCCTTCTCAAGCCTATCTACTTCAGCTCCTAAAGTATCAATAATATTTTCTCCATGTTTAAGCATAAAGGTCTCTAGTTCTTCAGGAGTCTTCACTTCTTGAATTTCCTATAAAGAAAACGATAGCAGAAAAATGAAACAGATTCTTAAGAAAGTCATAGTGGTACACTGATAATTTCTTTTAAAAATTATAACCAACACCGTTAAGTTTAATGAAAAATGAAAAACTTCGAGCCATAGGCAATGGACCACATATTTCAAAAAGAAAACTCAATTTGAGAAAAAATTGAGTACAATGGTCTACAGACCGTAGCACTGCAAAATCAGTGGGAAAATGGATAGACAATCAATAAATAGTGCTGGGGAAGTTATTTTTTTAGAGGAAAAAAATACTAAATCCCTACCTCAGACCATTAAACAAGTAATTCTAAGTGGATTGAAAACCTAAGGGTAAAAAACAAACCTTAAAATTTTTAGAAGAAAACCAGAATATTTTTATGATAATGGGATACAGAATGGTTCCTCAAGAAAGATAATAAAAAGCATAGAGAAAAAGATTACAAATTTGACATAAAATTTAAAACTACATCAAGTCTTCTGTACAACAAAGTGGAATGATAAATTATAAACTAGAAAGTTATCTGCATATGCACAACTGAGGAAGGATCAGTATCTAGCATATTAAAAATAAAACATTTATAAATCTGTCAGAATAACAGAAATTAAACAAACAAAGCAAGTACGGGAAATCCCAATGGTCAATAAATCTCTATGTTTATTAACCTCACTACTACCAGGGAAATATAAATTAAATCAACAGGATACTATTTCATATCTATCATAATGATAAAAATGTCGAAACTCTGTCAGTACAATCTAGCGAAAATGTGAAGCAATAGAAACTTTGATACACTGATGGTGGGAGTTAAATTGACACACTTTGGAGAACAATTTGCCAATATCTAAGGAAGTTGAAGATACGTTCATCCAATGGCCCACCTATACTTTAAATCTAGCTATGTAATGCCCTAAAGAAATTCTTGCACATGCAAACAAGGAAACATCTATAAGAATGCCACTGTGGCACTGTTTCCAATAGTTTAATACTTGAAACAATATAATTGTCCGTGAAGTAGGGACTGGATAAGCAAACTGCAGCATATTAGTAAGATGGACTATTAAATAGCAAGCAAATTAATTAGAGGTATATATATTAACACGGAGGAGGAATCTCAAAAACATGCTGTTTAGCAACTTATAGAGGAAACCATATGATATGATATAATTTATACCAATTTTTAAACATCTAAAATGTTACATATTACGCTAAGAAAAATATGTTGAAAAGTATAAAAACTGAATGGAAATGACAGGTACTAAATTCAAGATAATTGTGAGTTCTGGGGATGGAGAAAAGAGAATGGGATCTATAAGGAGAAACAAGGGCTGTAATATTTTTGTAATGATTTCTTTCTTTTTTTAAGATCTTAAGCAAGTACAGTACAGTAAAATGTTAATATTCGACAAAGGCAAGTGGTAGCCTCTGCTCTGTTCATTATATTATCCTGTATAAATTTTCTTTTAAAGTACTCTTAATAAAAAAAGCATGGATTCTGGAGTCAGAGAGATCTGAATTCACATCTGATTCCATATGATGGCTCTGCAATTTTAGGCAAGTTACTTAATCTTTCTGTGCCTGAATTGGCCTATATATAAAAATGAAAATATTATTTCTTTGCCTCACAGGTTGTTGACAGTAAATAAAGTAACATATATAAGACGCCTGGCACACAACAAGCACTTTAATAATAAGTCACCTCTTCTACTGTCTGAACCAGTTGAAACCTGAAGTGACTTTTAAGACTTATAAAAGAAAAAGTTTTATTTTATTTACTTAGGAAGTAATTTTTATAACCCTTGGCTATATAAGAAGAAATCAATAAATCTTTAACTTACTTGTAGCATTTGGTCAAAATCTTGTTTTTCCAAATATGATCTCGTAACAACTCGTCCATCGAAATCTACTTCTGCCTTAAATCTTACTTTCCCTAATCCTAGATCTGTGGCTTTAACGTCATGAATTGCCCTGCAACCAATAACAATACATACAAATTTATATACACAGACATACGTTTTAATGGCAAAAAGTCTAGAATTCTTGTTTTTTACTACCAGTGATGAAAAATGGACTAAGATGGCTTTCAGAGTGTTCGCCATCAAGCACCACCTATCATTTTCCAAACAAATGTTCATTTAGCTCTTTTTGCATAATGCCATACGAAGGTGTAAACAATAAATACTATTTTATGGTAATTTGTGTATATATGAACTACATAGTTTGTGGATTAAAAAATCAACTCTAAATTGCTTTTCTACAATGTTGTCATTTTATCTTATAATCCTTTTTTCCTTTTTTCAATAGCTTCTTTAAAAGTCTTCATACAACTCTGTGAAGTACTCCATTAGCATGAGGTTAATAATAACTACCTAATGGGACTGATGTGGGAAATAATGAACAAACATATATAAATGTTTAATATGCTACCAGTTACACAGCAGGCATTTAATCAATGACATTCATAAAGTAGATTAAGATGGCATCTTCACTTTACAGATAAAACAATCCCAGAGGGGCATAAGTGACCTGCCTAAGGTAACTCATCTAGGCAACAGGAGAGCCAGACTCACCCCCAGACCTTTAGATAACCAAACCTAGTGGTCTTTCCATTATACCATTCTGCCTTGCAGAAAAGGAAGCAGACGCTCAAGCATAATTGCTTTTCCATACCTCCTGCCCTAATCCTCAGGAATCAACTTTCTCCAGAAAACTACTGAGAAATTCCTTTCTTTCTAGAGTAATCATTATAATATCTTTTCTTTAGAGGATACATGAGAAAATTATAAACACTCTGAATTCTGAGGACATACAGATATCCTACTGGGAAAACGAGCCTAAGTGAGAATCCAAGTACTCTTAGAACATCTGACTCTAATTTCTTAGAGATCTTAAGCAAGTTACTGAATACTGAGTCTAAAATTCTTTATCTATATGAATAAAGAAGTATAGATGAAAATAAGAACTAATGATTTTATATTTATAAAGTTATATATGCCCAGACTGAAACAGAACTTGTCCAGATTGGTAAGAGGTTATATAATTTATTCATTAAAAAAAAGCATATCTAACTCAGTCTCAACAAAAGATTTTAAATACTCATGATTTGACTAATACTTAATTAGCAGTTAATAAAAATGTTCTGATATACTTCTTCCCTATGTTCTTACACATAACTAACTGCAGACAGAAAACTGTGATAGGCAGCTTCTATCATGGCTCCCAATGAGCGCCCCCCAACCCCCTCCTGTGTTCTGGCCCTTGTGCAAACCTCTCTCCTTCAACTGTGGGCTAGACTTAGCGATTTGCTCCTAACCAGCAGAACACGGCAAAATGATGATATGTCATTTCCAAGATTAGATGATGAACCTGTGACTTTTATCGTGTTCACACTCAGTATCTTTTGTCTTCTCAATCTGCATACTTTGATTAGGCAAGCTACCATGTTGGACAGTTCCACATGGCAAGGAACTAAATCCTGTTGATAATTACATGAGAAAGCTTAGAAGCTGATCCTTCCCCAGGAGATGACTATAGTCCCAGCCAACACCTTGACTGCAGTCTATGAGAAACCCTAAGGTAGAGACCTAGGTAAACCGTGCCCAGACTCCTGACCCACAGAGGCTGCGAGGTAATAAATGTTGTTTTAAATCACAAAGTTTTGGGGTAATCTGTCACAGAGCAATATAGATAACTAATACACTGATTAAAAAACTGTATGAACTTTCTGGAATACTAACATTTATTTTTTCCAACAATTTAATCTACAGATCATCACTATTCCAGAAAATTTCAAATTTGCCACAGTGAGTCTTTCCATTTACAGTTCTTTTTTTAGACTTTAATTATGAACAATATATGCAAAATTATAAACACACATATACCTAGCAAATGGGTACCAAAATACATGAAGCAAAAACTGATAGAAATGAAAGAAGAAATAGGCAATTCAACAATAACAGCAGGAGACTTTAACATCCTACTTTCAATAATGGATAGAACAACTAGGCAAGAAGATCAACAGGGAACTAAAAAACGTGAGCACTATAAAATCTAACAGACACAATGCTCCATACAACAGAAGAATATACATTATTCTCAAGTACACATGGAACATTATCCAAGATAGATCATATGCTAGGCCATAAAACAAACCTCAGTAAATTTAAAATGACAGAAATAATAAAAAGAATGTTCGGCAACCACAATGGAATGAAGTAAGAAGTAACAAAGACATCTGAGAAACTCACAAATATGTGGAATTAAACAACACACCCCTAATTAACCAATGGCCAAAGAAGAAATCTAAAGTGAAATTAGAAAATATTTTGAAGTAAATGAAAATGAAGACACAACATACTAAAATTTATAGGATGCAGTGAAAGCAGGGCTTAGAAGGATGTTTATAAATGTAAAAGCCTGTATTAAAAAAAGAAGATGGATATCAAATAAAAAACTTAACCTACCATCTTAAGACACTGGAAAAAGAGCAAACTAAACCTACAGCAAGCAGAAGGAAGGAACTAATACAGATTAGAGCAGGAACTCATGAAACAGAGAAGAGAAAAACAAAGAAAATCAATTAAACCAAAAGCTAGTTCTCTGAAAAGACCAAGAAAATTGACAAATCTTTAGCTGGACTGACCAAGAGAAAAAAGAAAGAACACTCAAATTATCAGAATCAGAAATGAAAGAGGAGACATTAGTACCAAACCTAAAGGAATAAAAAGGACTACAAAGGAATACTAGGAACAGCTGTACACCAACAAATTAGATAACTTAGAAGTAATGGACAAATTTCTAGAAAGACACAAACTACTGAAACTGACACAAGAAGAAATAGATAATCTGAATAAACTAATAACAAGAGATAGAATGAGTAATCAAAAAACTAACCATGCAGAAAAGCCCATGTCCAGATGGCATCACTGCTGAATTCTACCAAACATTTAAAGAAGAAATAATAACAATTCTTTATAAACTCTTCTAAAAAAAACAGAAGAGGAGGAAACATTTCCCCATTCATTCTATAAGGTCAGTATTACCTTGATAACAAAATCTGACAAAGACATCACAAGGGAAGGATATTAATTATGGAGTATCTCACATTAAGTTACTAAGCCCAATACTGATTCTCAGAATGCTCAATTTCAAATCTTGATCCAGTAGGTAATTACTTCTTAAGAGTAAACATATAGAGCTTAGAATATAAATCTACTACTCACATACTCATTTGTTCTACTGATGAAGATATAGAGGTCATTCTTTCTTTTTTTTTCAATTTATTTATTTATTTTTGGCTGTGTTGTATCTTCCTTGCTGCACACGGACTTTCTCTAGTTGTGGTGAGCGGGGCTACTCTTCGTTGCAGTGCATGTGCTTCCCATTGCAGTGGCTTCTCGTGTTGCAGAGCACGGGCTCTAGGCACATGGGCTTCAGTAGTTGTGGCAAGTGGGCTCAGTAGTTGTGGCTCATGGGCTTAGCTGCTCTGCGGCATGTGGGATCTTTCTGCACCAGGGCTCGAACCCGTGTCCCCTGCATTGGCAGGTGGATTCTTAACCACTGTGCCACCAGGGAAGTCCTAGAGATCATTCTTAAAAGATTTAACTTAAAGGTTTTAATTAAGAAAAATACATTCTTATTTTAAAGTTTAATATATGCGTATGTAGGTAAGTAGTAGAAAATCAGGATTTTTGGGGATGTGGACCATTTTTAAAGTCTTTATTGAATTTGTTACAATACTGCTCTGTTTTATGCTTTGGTTTTTTGGCTGCGAGGCATGTGGGATCTTAACTCCCCAACCAGGGTGAAGTCTTAACCGCTGGACTGCCAGAGAAGTCCCCAAAAGCAGGATTTTAAAGGACTGTTTCTTCCCCTTCATTCTGAAACTACACTGCTACTGAAGTTCACTAAAAAGTCCTACTGGAACTCTGCATCTCTTCTGATTACCTCCTAACTCTTCAATTCTTTATTTTTATATCATTTAAAGATAAAGATTATATGGAAAAAACATTTAATATAATCTAAAACAAGAAGTCTATTTTCAAAAAAAGTATAAATCATATTCAACTTGGTAATCATATCCCCAGGAATAAAAATCTTAAGTTTAATATATTCAATCTGTAATTATAATACAAATATAAGGCAAATATAAATATGAAGGTTTCATATAAGTGGTTCCACATTAAAAAGGCAAATACTTTGCAAACTTCTATTCCCATTACATCATCTAACTGTTCCTTATTCTAAAAATTAAAGATATACAGAATTTAAAAGGAAACTTAGGGAGTTTCTTACATGCTTTCACTTGCTTTCTTGTAAGGTTGCAATGCTGCAAAGTAATAAGATTAAAAAGTTCTAGGGCTTTCCCTGGTGGCGCAGTGGTTGAGAGTCCGCCTGCCGATGCAGGGAACATGAGTTCGTGTCCCGGTCTGGGAAGATCCCACATGCCGCGGAGCGGCTAGGCCCGTGAGCCATGGCCGCTGAGCCTGAGCGTCCGGAGCCTGTGCTCCGCAACCGGAGAGGCCACAGCAGTGAGAGGCCCACGTACCGCAAAAAAAAAAAAAGTTCTAATGGCTAGGAATTCAAAATCTCTTCTGGAAGTATTTACAAAACAAGCATTTCTATTTCTTAATATGTTTTTGTAAACCTTAACAGTAGTAAGCTGACCTTACTGAGGGGTCGTTCTCCAGGAGTTCAGTAAGCCGTTGTACTTGTTCTGGCTGGATGGATCGCCCTAAGAGTGCTTCTGTGTTAGTGTAGATGAGGAATGCTGAGACCACACCTAATAAGGTGCCCACACCCAAAGAACCTAGGCTGTCATACAGTGGATTGCCTAAATAAAAGCACAAAAGAAGTCAGTAAATTAACATTTTCTATTGTTTCAATGTGCTTTAGTGAGCAAAGAACCAGAATTAGTAAATCAAGGGACTGGAAATTCATTTCTAATTCCTTTAATGACTTTCTCCTAATAGTTTTACTATTCTATGCAGTTGAATTACTTATGATCTCTTTCTTGCACCTGGTCACATGGGTGAGGGTTCAGAGCATTTTCAAATTAGAGACATACTAGTAATACAATGAAGAGTCCATTTCTTTTTGATATATCAGTAGCACTTTTCCTATCCCAAGCTGACAAAATTGTAAAATCAAAAGCTAAAAGAAATAACCATTTTTGTGTCTTATTCTTACAAAGATTCTGTGAAAGAACTAAGCCATACAAAAAATTATATGAGGCATTCTTATCTCATTCAACCAAGAATGATACATAGCTAGTACCATTCTAGATTTAAAGAAAAAAAAAAAAAAAAAAAGGAAGTTAATTCCTTGCCTCTAATGGCTACCTCAGAGCAGTGGTTCTCAAAGTGCAGTCCTTTGACCAGCAGCGTCAGCATCACTCAAGAACATGGTAGTAATGCAAATTCTCAGGCCTCACTCAAGACCTTCTACATCAGAAATCTGGGGTTTGGGGTGGGGTGGGTGTGGGTCTAGCTTCTGTGCCTTCCCAATCCTGTCAGATGATTCTGATTCTAAAGTTTGTCTTAGGTTATTAGGACTTTATTCTCTTCCAGAACCAATGAGAAGAGTTGATTTATTATCTATGAATGCATCGGTTAATATTTATATAACAGACATAAATAAATATTATACTTTAAATCTTTATAATAAATATTACACACAAGGCTTTTATAATGAAGTCTTTTTATTCCAAAGATCAAATGTCAATATTAAATTGAACTCTCTTAATGCTTGATAAAGCATATTGTTTTACTAAAAAAAATCTCAATTTACATTAGTTTTATTAACATTTAGTCAAAATATAACACTAAAAACTGAATGACTTATTTTGTATTACTAAAGTGTAAAAATATATCCACTTGTAAAACATAATCCACTAGCAAGTTTGTAATTATAGAGTTCAAAATCAAATATTGCTCTTTAGAAATCCAGATTTAATTAATTATTTTTATTTAAAAATATACATCTATTAATAATCCTACAGAAATCACAGAATTACTAGCTGGAAAATATTTATTTCTTGGCATGATATTTAATTTAAATGACAATTTAAATAATTAAATAAAAATTAATGTGAAACTTTCTTGAAACAAAACTTTTTATAAGTTTGATTTGACTGGTTTATAATACTATGTAAAAAAAAATAATCTATTAAAAGTCAACTTACCTATCAAGTCACACTTTCCTTAAGCCTAAAATTTTGCTAAGTAATAATTTAGGTCTAAAAAAATGTCTAAAATGGTAAGGTCAACCAGAAAAAGGATCAAAACAATTAGAAATATTTTGGATCACAGTGAACATCAGAGAATTCTGGTTTACTCTTAAAATATACATTCAAAATGAGAAAGACCTATTCATATTTCAGGCTATTTTAAGAAATACTGCAGAACTGTGGAAGCTCATCACCTAAAATTATTTAAAATATGCTAGGACAAACAGGTAAGAATGGTAGTACCATTTCAAGAGAATTCCAACCTCAGAAATTGAGTCTTTATCATACTAAATGGTTCCTTTGTTTTAGAAGATAAAAATAAAATGGTTTTTGTCTTCTTATCCGCCTGTGCTGTACTGGCCTTCAAAATATTTATCTAGCTACCAAAATGAGGATGGAAGCAACTAAAGAATCAAGGAAACAGGAAAGCAACAGCAGTTATTATTGGTACTAATAGTAGAAAAAGACAAACGGACAAGAGCTACAATGTATATTTATTTTGAACTTTAGAGTATATTAAAGTTCTTTCTCATATACTATCTTAAACCTGTAAGGTCACTAGGACAAATATTATTAATATCTTTATAGGTAAAGAACTTAAAGCTCTGTGTAGTTGTGTAACTTATTAAGTCACAGCTAGAAAGGCTTCGAGCATTACAGAAATGCTCTATTAGCAGCCTTCTTTATTTCTAACTAAGAGAAATTTCTAATTCAAAAATCTGAACACTTTTACCATCTTATTTGTCTTATACAAACAAATGGTTAGTATGAAATTCACATTTAACAATCTACTGGTTTAAAATTATTCAATGATATAAAGGGAAATTTCCACATTAGAGAATTATTTTAGTAGCACAAATAAAGCACCTGTAATTTGAGAAATATTTACCTGTTATAGAAGTAAGGCCCATACAAGTGGCTGCTATTGTCACTCCCAACACTGCTGCAGTATCCTCCAATAATATAACATTTGTACTAGGATCACGACTTTCCATTACTTAATCATTGGGGTAGAGACAAGAAAAGAAACTTCTGAAATCTTAATTTGATACTATCAGATAACATTTTAATAAGTATCCATTAATTTAATTAAATTAAAATTAAGATTAAGAAGGAGTTCCCTAGTGGCCTAGTGGTTAGGATTACAGGCTTTCACTGCTGTGACTAGGGTTCAATCCCTGGTCAGGGAACTGAGATGCCTCAAGCCGTGCAGTGTGGCCAAAAAAAAAAAAAAATTAAGATTAAAAAATGTATGAGATCCTGATTTTTAAAACCCTGTTCAATATAAATATAGTTTCTTGGTTTAAATGTTAACAATAACAGATATTTAAAGTCAAATTACTTTCTCAAGTTATTATAAGCATACACAGAAATACTGTAGTTCATATAAGTTAAATCCAAATATAAAGTACTGCTGTTCAAATTACACTACACTTCTCTTTTTAAAAGAGCTGATATGTAAGTAAGAGCCACATAGGGAAGACACTGAGATATATTTTGTACACATCTATATGGAACAAAGCAATAATAGCACTAGGCAATTTTAAGGAAAAAAAGAAGACGAAATAATACACCTAGGTTTCTAAAATACATACCATACTTGTAAAGTGACATTCCTTTGGCCCGAGCACTCCTACGAAGCTCATTTACAGCAACAAGAAGTGTTGCTGAAAGAAAAGCATTCATATCAGCAAGGAAGAAACTTCATGCCTCCAAACTTTAAAGATGGCATCTCAAAAGATAAATAAATAGGCACAACACTTTAATGCTAAGGGCTGTCAATAAGGAAAAGTTCTATATTAAACCAGTCATTATCAAGACCCCAATTAATCATTATGATATAATGAATCCCATATTTCTAAACCACAATAATTTAAATATCATTACCACCACAACAGCCTTAATTTATTAGACAGCTACTAGCTGGCAGGCACCACACTAAGCGTAATCACTTTGACCCTCCCAACCTTTTGAGGCAGGTGGTGCTATCACCATTTTATAAGACTGCCAAAGATGAAAGGATGATGCATAAAAAATGACAATGTTTTAGAAGTAAGCATACTGTGAGTACAGCAGTGAATTAGGCAGTTTCATATATGATATTAGCACTTCTCTGTCATAATACTGCTATGGCTGAAACTTTCAGAAACATTAACATATTTTTACTGCAAAAAGACAGTCCTCCCTGATAAACATTACTAAAACCTGATTTTTAAAAACTCAGTATATAGTTAGTTATGTTTTTATACTCCATGGACCTAGAGACTGTCATACAGAGTGAAGTTAAGTCAGAAAGAGAAAAAAATCATTTATTAACACATACATGTGGAATCTAGAAAAATGGTACAGATGAACAGGTTTGCAAGGCAGAAATAGAGAAACAGATGTAGCGAACAAATGTATGGACACCAAAATGGGGAAGCAGGGGGTGGGGTGGTGGTGTGATGAATTGGGAGATTGGAATTGACATATATAGACTAATATGTATAAAATAGATAACTAATAAGAACCTGCTGTATAAAAAAATAAAAATGTTTTTTACTTTCCAGAAAAAGAAAAAACCTCAGTATATAGTTAGTTATGTTTTTATACTCCATTTCAAATGATATGATACTCAAGAACAAAATAAAAAGCTTTTCCAAACTTGCCCCATCTTATAGGAACAACCATAGTACATTATACAAAGAATTTCTTCCCTCAAAGAAGATAAAACTTATATTCCTATTTCCACAGCTTTGTAAACATCAAGAGAACTTAGCAATCTATAAAAATAGACTGTTGGGCTTCCCTGGTGGCGCAGTGCTTGAGAGTCCGCCTGCCGATGCAGGAGACGCGGGTTCGTGCCCCATTTCGGGAAGATCCCACATGCCGCGGAGCGGCGGGGCCCGTGAGCCATGGCCACTGAGCCTGCGCGTCCGGAGCCTGTGCTCCGCAAATGGGAGAGGCCACGACAGGGAGAGGCCCGCATAACGCCAGAAAAAAAAAAAAAAAAAAATAGACTGCTGAATATATATTACTAAGTTAAGAGTAAAAAGATTCTGTGACAATACATACCTCCTTCAGATACTAATGATCCTGCTAAAATACAATATGCCTAGGAAATATAAAAATAAAGCATAAGTTGATATCTCACTAAAGAATTACAACAGTTCACGCATAAACTTAATGTTTAATATGGAAACATAAATTCAAATTCTAGCCAGATAAGGATTTTGATGGGAAACAGCTCAAATGAGGACAATGAGATAGATGGTATCTTCATAAGAAGAAACAATTAAAAGTTAAAACTTTGATGGCCATCTCATTTTTTAATACTTGAAAAAGTAATACACACACGCACCCCCCCACCAGCGTAGAATGTTATACCGTGACTAAAGTTAAATTCATGATATAAAAGAATTACTTAATTAGTAAAAAAAAAAAAAAAATTGAACTTCAAAATGAACACAAGCATTTGAAATCTAGGGTTGTGGATACCAGACGCAGTAAGATACACAACCATACCCAGTAACTTTCAATTTTGTTTGTTTGCCCAGCACCAAGAGAATCCTTCCTCAGTCCTCATTCAGAAAGATAAGCAGTTATAAAAAGTAAACAATTTGGGGGAGGAAGATAACACCACTTTCCTTACAATCCCAGATACTCTTGAATTGGATAAGGATGCCAAGAATAGCTTTAATTCAAGATATATAGAAATAATTAACACAAATTTTTTAAAATTTTAAGTGAAATTCAAATCAAATATCTATAGAATTTTCAATATTACCTTTTCGGAACCCTAGGCTTCCCTGAAACAGAGGTTTAAAAATTTTGAACCCAGTCCAACACTCTTCTAATTCTGTTAAGAAAACTGAGATTTCCAAGGCTGTGTGGTTTGCTTGAGTAAATAGAAATGGTATTGGAGTAAGAACTAGAATACAGGTTTTCCTAACTCAATTCTAGGCTCTTTCCACTGAATCTTACTGGCAACATCAGCAAAAATAGTCTGGAACTACACTGTGAGATACAGAAGCTGACAGGGGTGCCACATGCCCAACCTGCACTTGTCAAGGGAGCTACAATCAGAGCTGCCAAGCAGAGTCATCTCCAAGAAGCTCCCATGAGAGGCAAAGAAGACAGCTTTAAGTATCTACAGAGGCCAGTGGAAACCAGTGCAAGATGACGTTGGTGCCAGTAAAGTAGTACCTTTCTGTCCCCTATCTCTACCTTCAGTGCTGCCAGAGGCAACCTATGGAGTAGGAGAGAAGAGAAGCCCTTAAGTGAAAAAATACAGAAGGGAACCACACTCCCATTCTCTCAATGTAGGCTTCCTACCATAATGAGGAAAAGGAGAAGGTTTAACTCTAAATAAAATTCTAACATACGACTGTTACAAAGGAATGGTTATTTTAACTACTGATAGGACATTTATTCTTGGGACTAAAAGTGAACAGAGGTCTTCTTGCTTTTCAAAAGTAACAGCAGAAATTAACAGAATTGCCCAAAATTTTAACCAAGGACGAAGTGTTTAAAAACTGTACCTACAGAGATACTCTTGCTCAACATCACTGAATCATATGGATTTAGAGGTCATGTCCAGTCACATTCTAAAAAACACAACTACAGGGCTTCCCTGGTGGCGCAGTGGTTGAGAGTCCGCCTGCCGATGCAGGGGACACAGGTACGTGCCCGGGTCTGGGAAGATCCCACGTGCCGCGGAGCGGCTGGGCCCGTGAGCCATGGCCGCTGAGCCTGCGCGTCCGGAGCCTGTGCTCCGCAACGGGAGAGGCCACAACAGCGAGAGGCCCGCGTACCACACACACACACAAAAAACACAACTACAGATACATAACCCTATATTACAGTCAAGAAGGTATACTTAGTCCCATTCTTTAACATCAATGTGACAAAGGCATTCTACTGTACTTAATCACTATTCCATATTACTTCAGAACTGAGGGGGGAGGAGGGGCGAAGATTACCCATAGAAGAGATTCTATTGGTTGAGGATTAAGCAATCCCATGACTCCATGGTACCAAGATAATCCTGCACCCATCATGAAAATACCAACACCACTAATTAGTGAAGCAATATAGCGCATATTTGAAAATCCATACCTGAAAAATAAAAAAGATAATATAGTTTACAAGAAATACAAATGATTTCCTCTCAAAATATGTTTAATAGGTCAATGAAAAAAAAAACTTATTATAACATCATGATGTTATGATTTTATATTTAAGTAAAATGTAAGTGCCAAACTCAAATCTAATCAGAAAATCATATACATAAAGTGGAAAAAACTGCAAGATCTTGGAAACTATATAAAAAGAGAGTGAACATGATTTAATTCAGGTATTTTCTAATCCCTCTTTCATATATTTGCTTTGATTTACTAGAGCAACTTTACTTTTATGTAACACAAATGCAGGCAAAATTTATTTTTTAAATGCATTCAGATGTTTAATGAAGATGGTAACATATTTCCTTGTAATGCAGCTTCTAATTGAATATTTGTCTTCTTCTATAATTTATATTTCCTACAATTTATATTACTTATAATTTGATGCTAGATACTTTTTGCTGTTTCTGTATAGTGTAACACACAGTAACTATTATCTTTTTTTTTTTTAGCTGCACCGAGCAGCATGTTGGACCTTAGTTCCCAGGCCAGGGATCGAACCCACGCCCCCTGAAGTGCAACTGCGGAGTGTTAACCACTGGACCGCCAGGCAAGTGCCACTAATTATTATCATTAAAAGACTAAGAGCTTCAGTTTTCTGGGTGTTTTTATGGTAATTTTTTTTTTGTTAAATCTCAGGGTTTTTTTAAAGTCTTTTGGTCAATGTGTGCATTATTCTGTATTACTGTATGTACCAATAAAATACTGAGTAATAAGAAATTTTAAAATATGGGATACTACAAGAGGAAAAGAATCATTCATTAATAAAAGTATTTTCTGGGAAATTTACTCCCAAACCCAAACTCTATGGCACCCTTCTAGCAGATGCAAATTTAAACAAGAGTTCTGAATTAAAATTGCTTTTTGAATTATTTTTGCAAATATGTAATCTTGCCATAGGAAATTATCAGTTTATAGATGTGATGGTGTTCTATCAGCTTGACTTAGGACAATTTATATTCTTCTAAAGCTTCCCCCCCAAAGTAAGAAAGGAGATTTATTTATTTATTTATTTAAGTTAAGGTAAATTAAGATCTAAATTAAATGGCATTACTTTCATTTTATGTGTTTTCAAGGAATTTGGAGATTCTTATTAAAAAAAATTTTTTTTTTGGTTGCGTTGGGTCTTAGTTGTGGCATGCATGTGGGATCTAGTACTGGGCCAGGGATCAAACCCGGGCCCCTTGCATTGGGAGCCCGCAGAGTCTTAACCACTGCGCCACCAGGAAGTCCCTAAAATTTTTAACTATGTAGATCTGCACTGTCCAGTGTAAGTCGCTAGCTACATAAGACTATTTAAATTTAAATTACTTAAAACTAGATAAAATTTTAATACAGTTCTTCAGTTGCACTAGCCACATTTCAAGTGCTCAACAGCCACATGCAGCTAGTGACTATCACAATGAACAGATATAAATAAATATTTCTGTTATTGTAGAAAATTCTATTGGGCAGTACTAAAGTAGATTGTTGAAAATATCTTAAGAAGAAATCTTTACAACCTAAAACTTTTAAATTTTACCCTGTTTTTAAATTTTTGGTATATAAAACTGGCCAGGAAAAATTTTTTTTGACATAGTGAAATACTATAATCATGTGTAATTAGCAGACTAGAAAGGTAGCTGTTCTCTGTACGAGCTTACTGATAGTTATAGGATATTCAATAATATGCTATTATTTATATGAAAACAGGAGTGCCTGGCTTTCAAGTAAAGAAAGGCATTTATATAAAACACAGAGGCACATTCCTTTATGGAAATAAAAGTGTATTTTTTTTTTTGCCTTAAGGCAAATTTGACTGCTAAAATTCTACTACAGAAGCTTGTTAAAAAAAAAATAATACATGTGGAATTCAAAATTTTCACCTGGTTATGTTAGTAGAAGCAACAGAAAAAAAGTCTTTGTATCAAATAACTAATATAATTCAAAATAATATACCCTAAAGAGCATACTCATTTTACAAATAAGTAATTTTGAAATATTAATAGAATCCTATTTCCAAATCACAACAGGGGGATTAAAATACATTAAGCATGAATTTAATAGAAATTATCACTAAAATTTTAGATTGAGTGGCCTATTAGTCCAAATGTGAAATATATATATCTCCTTTGACCAAATAAAACAAAACTCTAAGATCAAAACACGTGCTTTGTTATTAACTATCAAATACAAAGAGGACAGGATCTCTTTGCTATGTTACAAAGCATAAAAATAATTTGAACCTCATTTTCAAATTATATCTTGAATTTACTTTGACACAGAGGTTGAGTCCTGCATTTTAGATACAACAGCAGAAGAAATGACCAAATCTTTAACACAAAACTGCAGGTCTATAAACTGCAAGAGATTTCTATAATTCAACTACTTGCTGCCAAAACACATGAAAACAAAATAAAGACAACGTCCTTACGGATGAGTAGGATCTGGTGTTTGAACAGACTTACTGATGCCCAATGCTAGTAAGGCCTATGGAGAAAAGAAGGTAAATAATCATTAGCAAAGGAATATAATAAGCCAGTCTGGCACAACCTGACAATGACAAAGAAGTACTTAACACGTGTATGTCCAATAGCCCAGCAATTCTTGTTTCCAGTACTTGCCATAGAGAAATAAAGGTGAACTGAAAGGGGTTCAAAACAACCCTGAATAATGATGTAAAATGTGAAAGCAACCTAAAACTCCTTCAATGGGGAGTGGCAAAATAAATCATGGTATAACCAAACCATAAATTACTTCTACAACAGTGTAAAAGGGGATAGAGCTCTCTGTACTGACATGGTGAAAGCTCCTAGACGTACCATTCAGTGGATGGGGAAAAAGCAAGTTTAGGAACCACACGTACAATACAAAAGAACTTATGTTTTGCAGTTTTTGTAAATGACATATAATGTAAAGCACAGGAAAAGGTCTGAAAACTCACATTTAACTCTGTTTATACCTCTGAGGAGAGAAGTAGGTTTAGGGTGGTCTGTAATATCTGATTTTTTACAGGAAGAATAACTTGTATAGCTGCACAAATAAAAGATAGTAAAAGTTTTTTGTTTTTTTTTTTTGATGTGGACCATTTTTTTTTAAGTCTTTATTGAAGCTGTTACAATACTGCTTCTGTTTTATGTTTTGGTTTTTTGGCTGCAAGGCATGTGGGATCTTAGTTTCCCAACCAGGGACCGAACCCGCACCACCTGCATTGGAAGGTGAAGTCTCAACCGTTGGACCGCCAGGCAAGTCCCAAAGACAGTGAGTACAAACTGTATATGGACATGATACATTTACATTTCTAGTAAAACTGCAAAAACATGCACATGAAGTATACACATCAATGTATACAGAGCAGTGATTATCTGGGGTGTGGAAGGAAGAAACAAAGATGGAAGAGTAGTTATAACTAAAATTTTATTTCTCTAGGGAAAAAAAGTCTAAAGTAAATATAACAAAAATGTAAGTCTTTAATCCTGGTTACCACCTTTCTCTCCTTCCTTCCTCCCTTGCCTTCATCTTCTCTTCCTTTTATTTCTGTTTCTTTTTTTGATTATATCTTTTGTTAAAAAGAGTTATCCACTGGTACCGCTCAATATTATGCTTGCATTTAGTATCCTTTCTCTTAATTTGATGTAAATTTAGAAATCTGAAAAAGATTACACTAGAATTATTTAATAAAAATACAAAGCCTGAGTGAAAACCCTATGTGATTTTTTTCAACTAAGCTGGGGTTTTTGCATTTTTTCAGTATTGTATCAAATCATCAAATACGTAAGTATTCAAGATTACCAAATTCTTCATGGATGAAGTTTCTCTGTAGGTTACCGGGCATTTACAGAAACATTCCCTCTTGTAAAATACATGGGGATTATACCACCTTGCAAATGGCTAGTCCATTCAGGGACTTCCCTGGCGGTCCAGTGGTTAAGACTCCACACTTCCAATGCAGGGGGTGCGGGTTCGATCCCTGGTCAGAGGACTACAATACATGCCTTGCGGCATGGCCAAAAAAAAAAAAAAAAAAAGGCTAAAACAAATATATACTGACTTTTAAGTTTTGATATCAGAAATGCAATCCTAAATACACAGAATATTACAAGTTTTTTTCTACTGGATTCCAAAGGAAAAGAGAGTCAAAACTACCTAAAACATAGATGATGGCTTTTCAGTGAATTAAACTAAGAGAATGAGAGTAAATTAAGAACATATAATTTTAAAATCTATATATTAAAACTGAAATATTCATTATCAATTCACACTATATATGTATCTGTGTTTATAATGTTTACATAATAGTCAATGAGTGTTCAATTATTTTTAAAATACTTAATATTCAGGTTGGCTGTGCAATGAAGTGTGAGATATCAAATGTTTCATAAGTTGAATATGGGCCATTATTTATTAGTTCTTCTTATAAAAATAAGATATCATAGACTATCGCTAATCCTGTTCTCCCCCAAAGATTAAAGCCAAAGTTCTATTCTAGAACTTAATATAAATGGCATCACACAGTAACTATACTCTTTTGTATTTGCCTTCTTTTATTCAACATAGCTGTTAGAGATGCTTATATGCTACTTACGGATAAGGATTTCTTTTTATTTCTAGATAATATTCTATTGTATGACTATACAACAACTTGTTTATCCCACTGTTGATGGACATTTGGGTTGATTCCAGTTTTTTGCCCATTATAGCACCTTTATGGTGCTAGAAACATTCTTATACAAGTCTTTGTGGACATTTGTTCACATTACTCTTGGGTAAATACTTAGGAGTGGAATTGCTAAGTCAAACAGTAGGCATATGTTTACAAGAAACTGACAAATTTAAGAGTGGCTATAACATTTTATACTCCACCAGCAATGTCTAAAAAGTCTGGGTGCTTTACATCTTCACCAATATTTGACTGTCAGGCTCTTAAATTTTAGCGATAATAGCGGATGTGTAGAGATGTCTTGTTGGGGTTACAATATACATTTCCTGATGATTAATAGTGTTGAGCACCTTTTTGTGTGTCCATCAACCACATTCAGGTATCACTGTGAAGTACCTTTCCAAGTCTTCAGCTTGTTAAAAAGACTGGACTGTCTTTTTAATACTGAGTTATACAAGTTCTTTATTTATCCTGGATACCAGTCCTTTGTCAGATTATATGCTTTGTGAATATTTTCTCCCTATGAGCAGCTTGCTTATTTATTGCCTTAAAAGTATTCTTCAGGGACTTCCCTGGTGGCGCAGTGGTTAAGAATCCGTCTGCCAATGCAGGGGACACGGGTTCAAGCCCTGGTCTGAGAAGATCCCACATGCTGCAGAGCAACTAAGCCCATGCACCACAACTACTAGAGCCTGTAAGCCACAACTACTGCACCTGCGTGCCACAACTACTGAAGCCCACGTGCTTAGAGCCCGTGCTCTGCAACAAAAGAAGTCACCGCAATGAGAAGCCCCGGCACCATGACAAAGAGTAGCCCCCGCTTGCCACAACTAAAGAAAGCCTGCATGCAGCAACGAAGACCCAACACAGCCATAAATAAACTAATTAAATAAATAAATAAGAGTCCACCTGCCAATGCAGGGGACACAGGTTCAATCCCTGGTTCAGGAAGATCCCACATGCCACGGAGCAACTAAGCCCATGTGCCACAACTACTAGGCCCACGCATTGCAACTACTGAAGCCCACGCACTCTAGGGCCTGCGTGCCGCAACAACTGAGCCCACATGCTGCAACTACTGAAGCCTGCGCACCTAGAGCCTGTGCTCCGCAACGAGAAGCCACTGCAATGAGAAGCCTGTGCACTGCAATGAAGAGTAGTCCCTGCTCGCTGCAACTAGAGAAAGCCCATGTGCAGCAACAAAGCCCCAATGCAGCCAAAAAAAAGTGTCCTTTAATAAGAGTATTTAATTTTGATGAAGTTTAATTTGTAAATTTTTTTATTTTATGATTTTGTTTCTGTGTTCTGTTTAAGAAATCTCTGCCTACCCAAAGGCTTAGAAGATATTCTCCTAGGTTTCCTTCTATTTTCATAGTTTTAGCTTGTATATCTGGGTCTATGACCCACCTTAAATTTGTACACGGCATGAGTGGGAATCAAGGTCCTTCGCTTTTTTATCCATGTGGATATCCAATCTTTCCCATACCGTTTGTTGAAGAGTTTCTTTTCTTCACTGAATTGCTTTGGTGCCTTTGTCAAAAATCAACTGACTATGTAACTGAGGGTCTGTTGCTGGACCCTCTATTCTGTTCCACCGGTCTGTCAGCCCTTGTGCCAATACCGCACTGTCTTAATTACTGTGCTCTGAAATAAGTTTTAAAGCCCTCCAAATTTCTTTCATTTTTTTTTAGATTGCTTTGAATATTCCAGGTTCTTTACATTTCCGTATAAATTTTATTTTTTATTATTATTATTTTTTTTTTGGGCCACGCCATGCGGCATGCGGGATTTTAGTTCCCCAACCAGGGATCAAATCCACACCCTCTGCAGTGGAAGAGTGGAGTCTTAACCACTGGACTGCCAGGGAAGTCCCTCCATATAAATTTTAGAATTTAACCAGTTTGTCAATTTCTACAAAAGAATCTGCTGGATTATATGAAATCTATAGATTAATTTAGGCAAATTTGACATATTAACGCAGTTGTCAAATCCATGATCATGGTATCTCTCTCCACCTCCTTAGGTCTTTTTTTTTTTTTTTTTTTTTTTTTGCAGTACGCGGGCCTCTCACTGTTGTGGCCTCTCCTGTTGCAGAGCACAGGCTCCAGACGTGCAGGCTCAGCGGCCATGGCTCACCGGCCCAGCCGCTCCACAGCACGTGGGATCTTCCTGGACCGGGGCACGAACCCGTGTCCCCTGTATCGGCAGGCGGACTCTGAACCACTGAGCCACCAGGTCATCTTTAATTTCCCCTAGTTAAATTTTAAGATTTCAGTGTTAAAGTCTTACACATTTTTTGTTAAATTTACTCCTAAGTATTTAATATCATAAATGGAATTTATTAAAAATGTCACTCTCCATTTGTTTCCTGATAGTAGAAATGCAATTGATTTTTTTAAAAATAAATTTATTTATTTACTTATTTTTGGCTGTGTTGGGTCTTCATTGCTGTGCGTGGCTTTCTCTAGTTGCCGCGAGCAGGGGCCACTCTTCGTTGCGGTGTGCTGGCTTCTCATCGTGGTGGCTTCTCTTGTTGAGGAGCACAGGCTGTAGGCGCATGGGCCTCAGTAGCTGTGGCTCGCAGGCTCTAGAGCACAGGCTCAGTTGTGGCGCACGGGCTTAGTTGCTCTGCAGCATGTGGGATCTTCCTGGACCAGGGCTCGAACTCGTGTCTCCTGCATTGGCAGGCGGATTCTTAACCACTGTGCCACCAGGGAAGCCCCTGCAACTGACTTTTGTATATTAACCTTCTATTGATTTTGAATGTTAAACTATCCATGCTTCTTGGAATAATACTCACTTGATTATGATGTATTACCATTTTTGTGTACTGCTAGATTCAATGTGATTATATCTTAAGGATTTTTGCATCTATGTTCACAAGAGATACTGGTTTGTATTTTTTTTTCTTGGAATAACTTTACGGTTTTGGTATCAGGGTTATGCTAGCCTTACTAGAGGAGTTGAAAAGTGTTTCCTTCTACTCTATATTTGAAAGTCTGTGTACTACTGGCATTATTTCTTCGTTAAATGTTTGATAGAATTCTCTTGATAATGTCCCACAGGTCTAAGGCTCCCTTCATCTTTTTTAGTCTCTTTTCACTCTAGTTTTAGTATGAATGTTTTCTACTGCCATATATTTGAGTTCACTCATCATTTTTTCCATGACGTCTAATCTGCTGCTAATTCTATATAGTGGATTTTTCACATCAGATATATTTTTCAGCTCTAAAAGTTCCATTTGGTTCTTCTTTGTATCTTCCATTTCTCTTTTCATGATGTTCATATTTTCTTTTCAATACATGAACATAGTTATAATAGCCACTTATCCTTTTCTGCTAATTCTACCATGTGTCAATTGAGTCTTTCTATTGACTAATTTTTCTCCTGGTTGTGAGTCAGACTTTCTGCTTCATGGTGGTCTAATAATTTTTCTATTAGATGCTGACATTGTGAATGTTATACTGTGTGTCTGGATTTTGTCTTCCTTATAATAGCACGTGGGGCTTTGTTCTCACAGGTAATTAAGTTACTTGTAAATAAATCAGTGTGATCCCTTAGAGCTTTGTTAGAAAGGTTCTAGAACAGCAGTTGCCAACCTTTTTGGCACCAGGGACTGGTTTCGTGGAAGACAATTTTTCTACGGACCGGTGACGGAGGGGGGGGGGGGGGGGGGGGGATGGTTCAGGCGGTGATGCAAGCGATGGGGAGTGGCAGGTGCAGCTTTGCTCGCTCGCTGCTCACCTCCTGCTGTGTGGACCGGTTCCTAACAGGCCGAGGATAGGTACTGGTCCGTGCCTGGGGGTTGGGGACCCCTGTTCTAGAATAGTCTTTACAACTAAGATAATTTAGCCCTACTACTAAGGTCTAAGCCTTCTACTGGCCTGGGTAATCAATCAGGACTCTCTATCTCTGAACATCAGAACTTAATTAATCCAAGCCCGATGTGAACTCTAGGAATTACTCAGCTTAACGCTCCCTGCTGGTTCTTTGCCTGGTCTCATGAAGCTTTACCCTACACATGTGTAATCTAATACTCAGCAAAGATTCAACTCAAGGAAAACCCTATGTAGACTTCTGTAGCCTTGTAATTTCTAGCCACTTCAGACTCACTAACCCTAATTTCTACCTTCTCAACTCTATGATGGGTCTCCCACCCTGTTCCACTATCGCAAATGCGCCTCCAAGCAAAACACCAGAGAAATCACAGAGTTCAATTCACCTGTTCCCCTTCCTCAGGGATCATGGTCTTGCATTGCTATTGTCCAATGTTTGAAAATATTGTTTAATATATTTTGTCTAGTTTTTTAGCTGTTTATAGCAAAAGACTAGAGTCCAATCCTCATTAGTCCATCATGGCTAGAAACATAAGTTCTGTACATAATGTTTTACAACTTGATTATTTTATTCATATCATGGTTATTATTCCAGATCAGTACATAGCTATCTACCACATGCTTTTAAACCCCTAAATAGTATTTCAGAGTACAGACACTTAAAAATTGTATTCAGGGCTTCCCTGGTGGCACAGTGGTTAAGAATCCGCCTGCCAATGCAGGGGACATGGGTACAAGCCCTGGTCCAGGAAGATCCCACATGCCGCGGAGCAACTAAGCCCGTCTGCCACAACTGCTGAAGCCTGCGCACCTTGTGCCAAAAGAGAAGCCACTGCAAATGAGAAGCCCATGCACCGCAGCGAAGAGCAGCCCCCGCTCTCCACAAATAGAGAAAGCCCATGGGCAGCAACAAAGACCCAATGCAGCCAAAACTAAAATAAATAAATTTTTTAAAAATTGTCTTCAACGTTTTAAATAACTAATACTAAAATTAATAATATGTACATATCTCCTTGGCCAAATGTACAAATACTTTCACATTTTAATTTTCTTATGTTCACATAAGCTTTCAACAAAATAGGTACTGTGTGTCATACCCCTCCCACCCTCCTCTCCCCCGACTCAACAGGCAAAATATTATATAATAGTAGTTATTAAATATTTACTGAGTATAAAAATTTAATTCAAGAGAATGACTGTTAGTACTAATAGCAAATGCCTGTATTGTTTCCTTACTTTTACAAAACGTTTTAATCCGTGTGACAGTGAGTTACATGAGTTCTCAGGTTTAATTTTATTAAGATTGCTCTCCCTGCTTCTTACCATTTTATTATTATTTTTAACTTTGTCTTAAATATTCTTATTATACCTGTGTCTTTTATTGTAAGTTCTCCCAAATCTGTTCTTACATAACAGGAGTATAAATAAATAAATAAATACTAAAAAGGTTTTCTCCTTAACAGGCCACATTCTTTAAAATGTGAAATGATATACAAGTAGAAATGTTGTGTTCTTAAAAAAGGCTTAGATTCGTAGTATTCAAAATCAAAATACTAGTCTAAGGTGAAAATCATTATAATTCATCAATCACATGTGACTATTTTATAACTTTATTCAAAACACTTAAATCCACCGGCTCTTACAGTTATAAGAACTCATATTCACAGACCAAATTTCTACCTAATATAAGAATCTCCTCTACAATAGCCTCTGTGGCTGATAATCTTACACTTCATATTTGATTATTAGAAGTTTTTAAAGCGTAACAAACTGCTTTCAAATACTATGTCATATTTCTATGTATGTCATCATTCAAAAGTAAAACAACTTTCATTTTCTTCTACAACCCAACTATAGGAATCATTACGTTCTTAAATATGTCAACTTTTAGACTAAAGCCTCAAAAAACATATTACTTTAATAAGAAAGAAGCTTTTAACCCCTCACCTGATTACAAGTATCAGATAAAGAGTGTATAGCTTCTGAGAACATACTTGCTGAACCCGTATAAATCCAGGCAAGAAATTTGAAGAAACAGTTTAATCCATTGCTAGGAGAGAAAGAGAAAGTAACTTAGCATAGGTTTAAATAAAAATTCCCATTAAAAGCTTACTTAATTTATACACACACACACACACACACACACACACACACACACACACACACACACACACTAGATTCTGTTCAAAGTAAATTAGAAAGAATCCCTAGCCTTTAAGATTTACTATGTTTTAGGCAACAGGAGTACAAATTTGAAGAACACAGATTATGGTTTCATTAAATATTTAAATGAAAGAGGCATGATACGTGCCAGCAAATTACTTAAGTACATTTTGAGAAGATGAGGAAAGAGGGTGTTCTACATATGAACAAAACGGAATCAGAAAGGAAACTATGTGTCTTATGTGCACTTGGTATTGTTCAGTAGGCCAGTGTCAAAGGGAAGACGTTGGTGAAGGTCGGTTTATTTAATTAGGCAGATGCCAGAGGTGAAGACAAGACTAGACCAAATAGTCTGTGTCATATGAGAAGGCCATACATGCTAAAATAAACATGGTTGGCTCTGAGGAAGCCAGCTGCACTCAGATTCCAACAGTAATAACTAGTATAAGTTATCTCAGGCACTATACTACAGTCCCTTACCATGTTTTATTGTAACTCTATTATACAAATGCTAACACTGTAGTAGTTACTACACCCTCGTTTTATAAATGAGGAAACCGTGCACCCCCTCCAGCTACCCTTTTCTCCTCTCCTCCATTTCAAATCATTTCTTGAAAGAATTACATCCACTCTTGCTGTCTCAGTTTTCCTCACTTTGCACTCAGTCTTCAATGCACTAAACAGTGGCTTCTGCTGCTAACACCTCATAAGATTGTTTTTATCAATGTATCAACTGTTTCTTGCTATGAAATTCCTGAAAACATTTTAATATTTTCCTTAATCTCACAGAGGCGCTTGCCGCTATTTTCTGAAAACACTGTCTTCCTTGATTTCCACAGTACTACTGGTTTGCTTCCTACCTTTCTCTTTACTCTTCCTCAGTCTCTTCTGCAGGCTCTCTTTCTTCTACCCGTTTCTTAAATGTTAGCGTTCTTCAAGGTTTTTTCTGAAGAGCTTCTCCTTCCTCATACACTATATACACATTCTCCAGGTGATCTTAACTACACCTATGGCTTTAATTATCATCTATATACTAATAACTCTTGATTCTATATCTCTAATCCCTCCTGAGCTTCGGAGCCATATATACTAACAATAATAATTATTAAGTACATATTATGTAACAGGTACTATGCTCAGCAGTTTATATACATTACATACATTCCTCCAATGTAAAAAACTTTCACTGTTAATCCTGTTTTATTAATGAAAAGAATTAATTCTGCTGACCAACTCCCCTTGGGTGCCCTACAAATAACTCAAACTCAAAAAGGAACTCATTATTTCCTTTACTCCCACCCTGCCCCCTCCTTCCAGCATTCCTTCTCTCAGTGATGGTGCAATATCTATCCAATTGTCCAAACCAGAAACCTGGGCACCATTGCTAACCAGACCACCTAAATACTTTTTGAAACTAACCGTGACTCTCCATCCCTACTACCACTATCTTTTCTGTATTATTACAAATGACTTCTTCTAGTCTAGTGTCCCTCCAATCCTTGATAAGAATTATGTATTTTACCTTTACGTTTCCAGACCATAACAAAATTCCTGACACGTGTAACGTATGTATTTTAGAAATAAAAGAACAAACTAATGAATTATGGAATTAATGCTCAAACATACTAAATTAGATTATTCAGTAAAATAGATAAAAGGTAGGCAAAATAACAGGAATCAAGAAGAAAGAGGAGTACTTCACTGCTATATTTAAAATGAATAACCTACTGTAGAGCACAGGGAACTCTGCTCAGTGTTATCTGGCAGCCTGGATGGGAGGGGAGTTTGGGGGGAGAATGGATACATGTATATGTATGGCTGAGTCGCTTTGCTGTGCACCTGAAACTATCACAACATTGTTAACTGCCTATACTCCAATATAAAATAAAAAGTTTAAAAAAAAAAGAAGAAAGAGGAAAAAAGAAAGAGGCAAAAGCATTAATTATATTCTACCAAGGTTAAGTGGGAGAAAATTAAAGCGCAGGTACTCTTCAGTAGTTATAACGCAAGTTGCTTTAGTTACTCTAAAAATAACCTTGGCCAATTCAACTTTTTAAAAAAGACTTCTATAAATGCCAGTGAAAATGAGAGAAAAATTTTCAGATAGCACCTTTATCTTTATCTAGATACCAAGTAATAAATTTATACATTCAAGGATATATACATTAAAAATATTTCTATTTTAAAAGGCTTATATTTCAGTACTTACATGCAAATGGCAACCATCACCACCTTTCCTGGCCCCTTAAAAAAAACTGATGTCGTTCTAGAGCGTGGCTATAAGACAAAAACAAAAAGAAAAAATCTCTAACATTTCCCAGAGAAGCATTGTGACGCTAATAAGTGACTCCTGACACACCAGAAAATACCTCCTTTATCAATGCCTCTAAACGACTAGATTTACTTAATTATTTTTCTCTAGAATTTCCTGTTTAAGATGTGAGAAGACGGAAATTGAAAGTACATGTGGGTCCTTTTGCAGAACCTTAATTGTTTATTTCCTTGTAATTCATTTCCTACCTACTTCAGGAAAAATTCTGAGTTGGTTACATAAAAACCAGAAGCAAAGTGATAAAAATGTACTGCACTGAAATACTCTAAAATTTTCCCATTTCTTGAGCAACTTCTTATAGTACAAGGAACAGCCAAAGCCAACAACTTTGTTGCTCTAATTTAACTCATGACTGTTCTCTAAAGACCAAAGACATCAAGTGTTAACAATGTGTTTAATTTCAAAACACACCAAAACAAAAGAAAATCAAACAAGAACATATTCAGGGAAAATATTTTTCTTCAGTCAAATGTTCTTCTGCTATTCCTTGAATTTATACTTTCTGTGTTTCTCCTCCTGCTCTTTCCTCTCCTTGGAATGCTATCATCTTCCACTGCAACCTGGGCAAGCTTTACTCATCTTCTTGTATACCTGGCCAAGTGTCACCTTTCTACGTAAAGCCTTCCTTGGTCCCCCACAGAGAATACTCACTCTGCTACACATTTATTATTGTACTTTATTTTTCTATTGAAGTACGCCATATATTCTGCCTTATGTAATTTATTCAAGAAATATTTATTGTACAAGTACTATATGCCTGGCACAGTTCTAGATGCTGGGGCACAACAGTAAACAAAACAGAGTCCCTGCCTTCATAGATCTCACTGCGTAGTATAGGAAGATAGAGAATAAGTCCGTCATATCTGATAGTGATAAATATAATAAAGAAACTAAAACAGAGACTGAGAGAATAGTGTTGGGGGGGGTACGATGGAGAGGGTTATTTTAGTCAGAATAGTGAGGGAAAGAAGTTCAATGATGAGAAGGAGGCAACCATGAAAAATCTGGAAGAAAAATGGTTGAGGCAGAGAACACAACACCCTCAAAGATTCTGAAACAGAAGTAAGTTTCGTGTGAAGAATGGACAAAAACAAGGCTGGTGACTTCCCTGTTTGCACAGTGGTTAAGAATCCACCTGCCAATTCAGGGGACAAGGGTTCGAGTCCTAATCCGGGAAGATCCCACATGCCGCAGAGCAACTAAGCCCACGTGCCACAACTACTGAGCCTGCGCTCTAGAGCCCACAAGCCACAACTACTGAGCTCATGAACCACAACTACTGAGCCCACGTGCCGCAACTACTGAAGCCCGCACGTTGCCCATGCTCCACAACAAGAGAAGCCACTGCAATGAGAAGCTCGTGCACCAAAACGATGAGTAGCCCCCGAAACTAAAGAAAGCCTGTGCACAGCAACAAGGACCCAATACAGACATACATAAATAAATAAATAAATAAATAAATAATTTTTAAAAATTAAAAATAGAACTACCACATACCCAGCAATCCCACTCCTGGGCATAAACCCAGAGAGAACCATAATTCAAAAAGATACATGCACCCCAATGTTCATTGCAGCACTATTTACAATAGCCAGGACATGGGAGCAACCTAAACGTCTATCAACGGAGGAATGGATAAAAAAGATGTGGTATATATATAGAATGGAATATTACTCAGCCATAAAAAGGAATGAAATTGTGCCATTTGCAGAGACGTGGATGAGCCCAGAGACTGTCATACAGGGTGAAGTAAGTCAGAAAGAGAAAAACAAATATTGTATAGTATCACTTATATGTGGAATCTAGGAAAATGATACAGATGAACTTATTTGAAAGCAAAAATAGAGACACAGATGTAGAGAACAAACGTATGGATGCCAAGCAGGGAAGGGGGGGGTGGGATGAATTGGAAGATTGTGATTGACATATATACACTACTATGTATAAAATATCAATAGATAACTAGTGAGAACCTACTGTATAGCACAGAGAACTCTACTCAGTGCTCTGTGGTGACCTAAATGGGAAGGAAATCCAAGAGGGGATATATGTCTACATATAGCTGATTCACTTTGCTGTACAGCAGAAACTAACACAACACTGTAAAGCAACTATACTCCAATAAAAATTAGTTGAAAAAAAAAAAAAAAGAAAGTAAGATTTGGGGCTGGTCACCAGAGGAGCCAACCATGTAATTAGAGGGTTATAACTTTCCAACCTCCAGTGCTGAGAAAGAGGCTGGAGATTGAGTTCAGCCTCCAATGGCCAGTGTTTTAATCAGTCATGCTTATGTAATGAAGCCTCCGTAAAACCCTGAAAGGAGGGGGTTTGGGGAATGTGTGGAGGTTCAGGGAGAGTGGCTGCCCAGACAGCATGGAAGTTCTGACACCCTTCCCACGTGCCTTGCCTCCTGCACCTCCTCCATCTGGCTGTTCCTGAACTATATATCCTTTAATAATAAACAGGCAATCTAGTTTAAAAAAAATAAAATAAAGAAGTGGGACAGTAAAGGTAAACTTTCTATACTGGTCCCAATATTAATTTCCTTCTGATAGGAAGGAAAACAGAGTTATTCTGGCACACTTGTCAATAAGGTAGTAAGTCTGCTAATGGAAAGAAGGTACTTCTATCAGATTAGATTTTTTCAATGAAATATAAAACAAGCTCATCAGCTGAAGAGGGAAAGCGAGTCTGCAGGAAGTTTGGGAAGAGAGGAAAAGGTATGCAATAAGTATCTCACAGAATGGGAGAGTGAACGTACTATGGAAGTTTAGTAAGACTGACAAATATTGAGTGTCCATTGATTTTGTACACTTATATAATAAAGAAAAGAAATCATCAAAATGGCTGTGCAATTTTCTCCTCTAAGGGCTGAGCTTCTTGGGTACAAGCAGAGAATTAGCACTTTGAATGTTAAACAAGGTTAAGAGTAGAAGGAAAAAGAATAAAGGAAATTAAAGGTGTATACAAGAGCTAAATCTTGCTAAAAATCTAACAAAATAAATCATCTATATCTATATGCTTATGTGTATAGCACAATTATGAATTTAAAGAGAAATTATGTCCCAATTTTTTTAATTTTAAGAAAAACAGGGAGTTCCCTGGTGGTCCAGTGGTTAAGACTCCACGCTTCCACTGCAGGGGCACAGGTTCGACCCCTGGTTAGGGAACTAAGATCCTGATTGCTGCACAGGCAAAAGAATAAAATAAACAAATGAAAATAGATTTTGGGCTTCCCTGGTGGCGCAGTGGTTGGGAGTCCGCCTGACGATGCAGGGGACACGGGTTCGTGCCCCTGTCTGGGAGGATCCCACGTGCCGCGGAGCGGCTGGGCCCGTGAGCCATGGCCGCTGGGCCTGCGCGTCCGGAGCCCGTGCTCCACAACGGGAGAGGGCACGACAGTGAGAGGCCCGCGTAAAAAAAAAAAAAAAAAAAAAAAGAAAAACAGACAGAAGCAAAGAGACTGTAATTCAGTAAATTACAATCTACTTTAGAAAATCTTGGTATAGGATCACAGACATGCTAGATTTTCACCATGGACTGATACTAGGATTTTCTGTGCAACACACACACACATAACATTAACAGAAAGATATCCTTACCTTGGTATTTCCCAGAAACTCTCTATATTCTCTCAATACTTTTTGGTTTCTAAATAGCCCTATAAGAAAAGAATTACACAATACATTTAGGTCATACATATTCTTATCAGTCACATTTTAGATTAACACAATTATTCTAAGACTATGTTAAATCATCTTCTACTAGCTACCAACAAAAATGTTATTAGAAGAAATCTGAATTTGCAACTTGATTAAAAAACAGGCAAAGGTTTTGAATACTTTTCTCCAAAGATGATATACAGATGGCCAACAGGTGCATGAAAAGATGCTTGTATCACTAATCATCAGAGAAATGCAAATCAAAACCACAATGAGGTATCACTTCACACCCATCAGAATGGCTACTATCAAAAAAAAACAAGGGCTTCCCTGGTGGCGCAGTGGTTGAGAGTCCGCCTGCCGATGCAGGGGACACGGGTTCGTGCCCCGGTCTGGGAAGATCCCACATGCTGCGGAGCAACTAGGCCTGTGAGCCATGGCCGCTGAGCCTGTGCATCCGGAGGCTGTGCTCCGCAACGGGAGAGGCCATGACAGTGAGAGGCCTGCGTACTGCAAAAAACAAAAACAAAAACAAAAACAAAAACAACAGAAAATAACAAGTATAGGGACTTCCCTGGTGGTCCAGTGGTTAAGACTCCACACTCCCAATGCAGGGAGCACAGGTTTGATCACTGGTGAGGGAACTAAGATCCCGCATGCCACAGAGCACAGTCAAAAAAATAATAATAATAGTAACAAGTATAGGCAAGGATGTAGAGAAACTGGAAATCTTGAGTATGTTGGTAGGATTATAAAATATTGCAACTGCCATGGAAAACATGTAGGTTCCTCAAAACAATAAAAAACTACCATATGGGGTTTCCCTGGTGGCGCAGTGGTTGAGAATCTGCCTGCTAATGCAGGGGACGCAGGTTCGAGCCCTGGTCTGGGAGGATCCCACATGCCGCGGAGCAACTAGGCCTGTGAGACACAACTACCAAGCCTGCACTTCTGGAGCCTGTGCTCCGCAACAAGAGAAGCCACGATAGTAAGAGGCCTGTGCACCGCGATGAAGAGTGGCCCCCGCTTGCCACAACAAGAGATAGCCCTCGCACAGAAACGAAGACCCAACACAGCAAAAATAAATTAATTAATTAATAAAACTCTTACCCCCAACATCTTCTTGGAAAAAAAAATAATAACTACCATATGATCTAGCAATCCCACTTCTGGGTATACAAGCAAAAAAAATGAAAGCACAGTCTCAAAGAGGTATTTTCACACCCAAATTCACAGCAGCACCATTCACAATGGGCAAGAAGTGAAAGCAACCAAAACATCCATGGATGAATAAATGGATAAACAAAATGTGGTATATGCATATAATGGAATATTATTTAGACTTTATGAGGAAGGAAATCCTGTCACATGGATGAACCCTGAGGACATTATGCTAAGTGAAATAACTTAGTCAAAAAGACAAATACTGTATGATTCCATTTATGTGAGGTATCTACAGTAGTCAAATTCATAGAAGCAGAAAAAAGAATAGTAGTTACTAGGGGCTCGAGGGAGAGGGAGAAGGGAATTGTTTAACATGTATAGTTTCAGTTTTGCAAGATGAAAAAGGTTTCAGAAGAACATTTTCTGGAAATATTTCATAACAATGTGAATATACTTAGCACTTCTGAACTGTACACATAAAAACAGTTAAAATGATAAATTTTATGTTGTATTTTTGCAATGAGATAAAGGCAGTTTGCTAAGATTCTCTTCTCAGTATTAACTAAAAAATACAATAACCAATTCTTCATTGTTAGCTCAAAGTTTAAAAATACAGGAAAAAATATTTTTCTATTACCGTGCTTTCTCAAATTCTGTACTTTAAATATCTCCTTTAATATATGTACAAGGCTATTCATGGTATCATTATTTTACTAGCAAAAAACTGGAAATGACCTAGGAGGAAATAACTGAATAAACTACGGTGTACCCCCCAAAATGGAGTACTATAAAAGAAATGAAGAAATGTCTCTATTTCCTGCTATGGAATATTCTCCAAGACATATTATCAAGTAAAAAAAAAAACAAAAGCAAGCACAGAAAGTATGCATAGTATGCCTTATTTATGAAAAGGGGAGTCTAAATTACCAGTATGTATGCTATCTTATTGCATTTTTTAAGGGAAAAAATAACCCCCAAACTAAATTTTTTTAAATTAATTAATTTTATTTTATTTATTTTTGGCTGTGTTGGGTCATTGTTGATGTGCATGGGCTTTCTAGTTGCAGCGAGCGGGGGCTACTCTTCGTTGTGGTGCACAGGCTTCTCCCTGCGGTGGCTTCTCTTGTTGTGGAGCACACGCTATAGACGTGCGGGCTTCAGTAGCTGTGGCTCGCGGGCTCTAGAGCGCAGGATCAGTAGCTGTGGTGCATGGGCTTAGTTGCTCTGCAGCATGTGGGATCTTCCCGGACCAGGACTTGAACCCATGTCCCCTGCATTGGCAGGTGTATGCTTAACCACTGCACCACCAGGAAAGACCCCAAACTAATTTTTTAAACAGTTACCTATGTTAGAGAGAGGGAGTAGGGTAGAGAAGACAGGGATGGGAGCTAAACTTCTCTCAAGTGTTTTGTCCGGTAAAGGTCACTTTGGAATTGTGTAAACATTTTACAAAATTATAAAATAAAAATAATTTCTCAAAATTGAAAGCAAAATGAAGCTAATTTTACATCTGTTAGATGGTTTATCCATACAATGAGAAATTAAAAGTGACTTTAAAGCATAGACATTTGACTATATATCCCTAGTGGGATATATAATGATGACAAAAAGAAACACAGAAATCTTAAAACACCTTGATAGCAATATCGATCCTGTTAGTTTGAAACTACACTGTATTCTCTCTATATGTGTGTATACACATATAAGAACAAACCAAAAATGTAATTAATTATGTTAATGAATTAAGAAATAAGATTTTCAGGGTAAGAGATACAAAAAGAAAAGAAACAATGTTTATCAGAATAACCTATGTATTTTTTTCTTAAGAAACAAAAAGCATTTCCTAGCTCTGTCCACTGAGAAGACCTTAAAAATACATCAACCTGTTAAGAATGAGTATCCCTAATGCCCACAGGTCTCTCAATTTTATTTCCTATTAAAAGGAAAGGGTCTCCTATTAGAAATGGCTGATTCCCAATCTGGGGCAGGAAATATACTAAATAAACCTGAAACATCTTATTGTACCTAAAAGCAACGATGCTACAACAGTACCTGGATTATGACAAAAGGACTTCGGTGCAAATTTGAGATGTTTCCACTGGCCAAAGTGAAGTTGAGCACCACGACTTTGCCCACTTTGTTCTTTCCTTCCCTGCAAGTCTTCTTCACGTTCTTCCCGATCTCCTGATCTCCTTGCTACCCACTGCTGTCCCTCTTGACACTGAACACCCACATGCTCAAAAAACTCTCCCAACCCTTTTTCTTCCTGTGCTACTGACCACAACTGTCTCATAATTTCCACCTAGAAATTTCACCAACTCATGAGGAGAAGGAAATATTGTCACCTTTAAGCCTTGGTCCTATGCAGAACTTAGAAATATAGTTAAAGAAGTCAGAATCCTCCTAAATAAAGCCTGACCCCAAAAAAAAAAAAGTCTAATTTTTGCAGATACTAGCACATCTGTCTCTACTTTAATCCTGCCACATTACCGTTCAGTTCCACAGAGTAACAGAACTGTAACTGTAGTACAAGAATCTAATACCCCAATGCATTATGCCCTACTCGAAGATTTCATCATATCCTATATTAGCACCTGTACTGCCTATAAAGAAACCCAATGGAAGCCATTAACTGAATAGTGATACCACAGTTTTGGGGCTCCCTGACCCCCACATGTATTTCTTTCATCAAAAGTAAACATTTCATGGAATTCCCTGGTGGTCCAGTGGTTAGGACTCTGCACTCCCACTACAGAAGGCACAGGTTCAATCCCTGCTCAGGGAACTAAGATCCCACAAGCCATGCAGTGCAGCCAAAAAAAAAAGGAAACATTTCAGCTGCAGGAGAGGGTGCAGAGTAAAGGGAACCCTCTTGCACTGTTGGTGGGAATATAAATTGATACAACCGCTATGGAGAACAGTATGGAGGTTCCTTAAAACACTAAAAATAGGGCTTCCCTGGTGGCACAGTGGTTGAGAGTCCGCCTGCCGATGTGCACTCGTTAAGAGTCCGCCTGCCAATGCAGGGGACATGGGTTCGAGCCCTGGTCCAGGAAGATCCCACATGCCATGGAGCAACTAAGCCCATGTGCCACAACTACTGAGCCTGTGCTCTAGAGCCCACGAGCCACTACTGAGCCCACGTGCCTAGAGCCCATGCTCGGCAACAAGAGAAGCCACTGCAATGAGAAGCCCGTGCACCACAACCAAGACCCAAAGGAGCCAAAAACAAATAAATAAAATAAATAAATTTATTAAAAAAAAAAAAGACACATGCACCCCAATGATCATTGCGGCACTATTTACAATAGCCAGGTCATGGAAACAACCTAAATGCCCACTGACAGACGAATGGATAAAGAAGATATGGTACATATATACAATGGAATATTACTCAGTCATAAAAAGGAACGAAACTGGGTCATTTGTAGAGATGTGAATGGACCTAGAGACTGTCATACAGAGTGAAGTAAGTCAGAAAGAGAAAAACAAATATTGTATATGAATGCATATATGTAGAATCTAGAAAAATGGTACAGATGAACCTGTTTGCAAGGCAGAAATAGAGACAGACATAGAGAACAAATGTATGGACACCAAGGGGGGAAAGAAGGGATGAGATGAATTGGGAGATTGGGACTGACATATATACACTAATATGTATAAAATAACTAATGAGAACCTGCTGTATAGCACAGAGAACTCTACTTCACTTTGCTGTATAGTAGAAACTAACACAACATTGTAAAACAACTATACCCCAATAAAATAAATAAATAAATACATTTCAGCTACAGACTCGACACATCCCTATCAAAACCCCAAGGACGTTTTTCACAGAAATAGAACCAAAAAATTCTAAAAGTTTTATGAAACCACAGAAGACCCCAAATAGCCAAAGCAATACTGAGAGAAAAGAATAAAGCTGGAGGTATCACATGCCCTGATTTCAAACTAAATTACAAAGCCACAGTGATCAAAACAGCATGGTGTTGGAAGAAAAACAGAGACATACATCAGTGGAACAGAATTTAGAGCCCAGAAAGAAACCCACACATATATGGACAATTTATGACAAAGGAGCAAACATCATACAATGGAAGAAGGACAGTCTCTTCAACTCATTAGTTGGGAAAATTGGGACAATGGGACAGTTACATGCAAAAGGATGAAACTAGGCCATTATCTCACACCTTAAACAAAAATCAACACAAAACGGATTAAAGACCTCAATGTAAGGCCTGAAACCATAAAACTCCTAGAAGAAAACATAAGCAGCAGTACACTCTGACATCAATCTTCACTCTATCTTTCTAGCTATATCTCCTCAGGAAAGGGAAACAAAAGCAAAAATAAACAAACAGAACTACATCAAACTCAAAAGCTCCTGCACAGCAAAAAAAAAAACCATCAACAAAATGAAAAGACAACCAACCTAATGAATGGGAAAAGAAATGAAATATCTGATAAGGGGTTAATATCCAAAAAATACAGACAACCCAATTCAACAACAACAACAAAAAATAACCAATTAAAAAATGCAGCGGAGGGCTTCCCTGGTGGTGCACTGGTTGAGAGTCCGCCTGCTGATGCAGGGGACACGGGTTTGTGCCCCAGTCCGGGAAGATCCCACATGCCGCGGAGCGGCTGGGCCCGTAAGCTATGGCCACTGAGCCTGCGCGTCCGGAGCCTGTGCTACGCAACGGGAGAGGCCACAGCAGTGAGAGGCCTGCGGACCGCAAAAAAAAAAAAAAAAAAAAAAATGCAGGGGAGCTGAATAGGCATTTTTCCAAAGACATTTTTTCATACAGATGGCCAATAAAATATGAAAAGATGTTCAACATCACTAATTATTAGGGAAATGCAAATCAAAACACAATGAGACATCACCTCACGCCTGTTCGAAAGGCTAGTATCAAAAAGGCTAGAAAAAACAAGTGTTGGTGAGGATGTGGAGAAAAGGAAAACCATATGCACTGTTGATGGGAATGCAAATTAGTGCAGCCTACTAAGGAAAACAGTATGGAGATTCCTCAAAAAATTAAGAATAAAATTACCATATGATCCAGCTATCCCATTTTTGGGTATTTAATCCAAAGAATATGAAAACACTAATTAGAAAAGATATACACACCTCTATGTTCACTGTAGCATTTATTTTCAATAGCCAAGATATGGAAACAACCTAAGCCCCCAACAACGAATGAATGGATAAAGATGTGGTATTTTTACTCAATGGAATACTACTCAGTCATAAAAAAGGTGAACTCTTACCATCTGCTAAGTGAGACAAGTCAGATGGAGAGATATAAATACCATATGATTTCACTCATGTGTGGAATATAAAAAACAAACAAACGAAATAAATGAACAATCTAAAGCAAACCAAAAATGTAGATACAGAAAACAGTAGTGGTTACTTGAGGGTGAAATGGGTAAAATGGATCAACTGTACAGTAACAGACGGAAACTAAATTTTTGGTGGTGATCACACTGTAGGGTAAACAGAAGTAGAAATATAATGTTGTACACATGAAATATATGTTATAAACCAATGTTACCTCACTGAAAAACAAATTTTAAAAAAGAGACTAAACATTTCATTCCTGTGGATTTAAGTGCAGCTCCCCTTAGCATATCTGTGAATATAAAGATGCTCAACAGCTGTTTGCTTCTTCTGAGAGGCCAAAACCCCTTAGAAACTAGGATTTACCTTTAAACAGGTACAATCTTCAAATGAGACCCTAAGTTTTAATATTCATATATCTTATAGCAACCACAAACTACCTTTGCTTGCTCTCATGATCTTTAAAAAGCTATAGAGGAGAAAACAAATAATACTGTTTTTATAAAATAATTGAATCCCAAAATGAAAACTGGTATTTGCTAGAAGCAACAAAGCCAAAGCCAAGAGGTGGGCAACCACTAGGGAGGGCATAGTTATTATAGGCACAAGTCTTACTTACAAGTTGCTTTTCAGTTAACTCAGCTGTAAATTTAATATACTTACTTTCTCTATATTCTATTTCTGCTTCCTTACGAAGTTTTTTCTCTCTGGCAAGAGCTTCAGGGCTTCCCCAAACTTCCAAAGATCTGTGTACACACGACCACCAACAATGACAATTTTAATGACTTTATTATAATCATATTTAAATCTAGATAACTAAAACTATATGAGAATTTAACAACAAAGCATAAGGTCCTTTAGGAAAAATATAAAGCACTTAAATTTTTCTAAATTAAATCTAAACAGTAAGAGTGAATTCAACAGCAAATCTTCTCATAAATTATGACTTTTTTTTGCTAACTAGTACATACTAGTAACTCTCAGATAAATTTAGAAATGTAAAAATATTCTGCTTTTAAAACATGTCATTTAAAAAATTCTGAGTCTCTCTAAAATACATTTTTATTAATCCCAAATTCAGCTTGTATTTTTATTCTAAAAGAACTATATTCTTACTTTGCCTCCACATCTGATCTCAAGTATACAGTAAAGGACTCGGTATCTTCATGAGGACTTCGTCGTCTGATTTTTCGAAGTTGTTCTAGATCACTGAAGAAAGAAACATGTTGAATTTATTCAGACAAGGTTCATATGGTTCATGTACTTAAAAGATTAAGGGCAGATAAAAGCCACTACACTGATCCTCATTTTAATAGCTAAATCTGTATAGCCTATAAAAAGCAATTTAAAGATGACATTTTGTACACAAAAGTGACTTAGAGACAGCTGAAACACTAAGAATTATTCTTGATGCTCAGTATAGATACCATAACATAATACGTAGAGAGTCAATTCCTTTATTAGTGCTTGCATTTTATCTGCTAGGGACACACCATTGCAATGTCTGATGTATGAAGAAAGAAAGTGAAAAGTGGAAAGAACATGGATTAGAGTATTATCCCTCTATTTAAGAATTTAAATTTAAAATTTACAGTCATTTGTTTATATCCAGATTAATACTAAGTGGTAATATCATTCACAGATACCAAGTTATACAGAATATGTGTCAATTTCAGGCTATTTAATTATTTTCCTTTCTCTTAAATTCTGAAAGGTTAATACATTCATCAAGTCACTGCTAAACAGTCATACTAAATTTGATCTTTGGTCTTCCTAAGGAAAGTTTGTAATAGCAACAAAAAGACCTATAAATAAAAATCTGGGGCGTATACTGGTGGCCTAATAGTTAGGATTCCAGGCTCTCACTGCCGTGGCCTGGGTTCAATCCCTGGTCAGGGATAAGATCCTGCAAGCTGCGTGGCGCAGTCAAAAAATAAATAAATAAAAAGTAAAAATAAAATAAAGTAAGTTTAACAATCAACTATCACACATCAAAAAAAAGTCTGGGGCTTCCCTGGTGGCGCAGTGGTTGAGAGTCTGCCTGCCGATGCAGGGGACACGGGTTCGTGTCCCGGTCTGGGAAGATCCCACATGCTGCGGAGCGCCTGGGCCCATGAGCCATGGCCGCTGAGCCTGCACATCCGGAGCCTGTGCTCCGCAACGGGAGAGGCCACAAGAGGCCCACATACCGCAAAAAAAAAAAAAAAAAAAAAGTCTGGACCAAGTAACAAAAGATATATATTCTGGTTCCCTCTCTGTCACTGACTCACTAAAAAAGCTACATCATCACTCTTTATTATGTTCCCTGGCCTATAATGTGGAGATAGCAATACTTAACGTACTTAACTCACAAAATTGTTGTATGTGAAACAGAATATAGTTTTATATCATTATTAAAATTGGTTGTTGTTTCAATAGTTATGGAAGTTATAAAACTGATTACAGGAATCCTTATTTCTTGATATTATACCATAGATCATATGACCATGGGCTGGGGGTGGGGTCGGGTGGGGGAGGCTAGATCATCTGATGACGAAATTGCCAAGATAACTTGCACATAAATATGGTTTTTCTAGGTAAACACACAAAAGAGGGGGAAAAGTTTAAATTTGTGTAAAATACCTCACTAAATCTCTTTAATTACAAGAAAATTAATAACAAGATACCAGAGAGAAGGAAAATAATTTATACTCAACATGAATCACAGCTGGAGTGTGAACATAAACATAATAAAACTGCTTTACCAAAAAAACCAAAATTTTAAAGTTATACAAATATGCAAATAATCTTATTGATAATTTTACTACATATTAACATAACAATAAACTCCTAAGGTTCTTGTGTGACACAAAGATATTGAAGAACCTACCTTTTTGAGTTAAAGGAGCCAAGAAACACTGGAACTGCTCGTGCTAGAGCAGCCTTCAGTTTAGTAAGCTAAAAATTGTAACTTTTTTTTTTTTTTTTTTTTCACGGTACGCGGGCCTCTCACTGTTGTGGCCTCTCCCATTGCAGAGCACAGGCTCCGGACACACAGGCTCAGCGGCCATGGCTCACGGGCCCAGCCGCTCCGCAGCATGTGGGATCTTCCCGGACCGGGGCACAAACCCATGTCCCCTGAATCGGCAGGCGGACTCTCAACCACTGCGCCACCAGGGAAGCCCCAAAATTGTAACATTTTTTTAACTGAATAAAAATACCTCTCCAATTTAGGAAGGAGCCATGGTAAAGTTTCCACATGGATGTTAGTGGGTTAACAAATTCTAGGAAATAACTGGTTATTTAGATTAGATAGAGCAAACTACCCCATTTTAAAAAAATTACTGTACCTGTATTTGAGGCAGAACTCATTCATTGCTCTGACTCCAGTGATGAAATTATTCTGAGTGTACTTTGGTCCATATTCCCTCTTTTTAAGGACTGCTTTGACTAAAACCAAAAATATAGGAAAACATACTAAATATGTACACTGGAAGTCACATTTGAAGATGAACATATGCTGAGTTTTAAGTGGATTCACTAATGAATTCCATAGAAAACTGTTTTTCCTGATGCACTGAATGGCGTCAGAAAAAAAAAGTTTATTCCAAGTACAGAATAGGACTGAATTACACTTGTAACCACCCAGCTTTATCTCCATAGTTCATCAGTAACTGATGACAAAATGTCAACCCTTTGTCTAAAGGATACCTTATATAGGTATTACTGGTCTGTTTAAATCGTACTAGTACAATTTAAATTGCTTAGGGTCTACGTGAAAATGAACTGAAGTTTCAATAAAACATTAGACGCTGGTTCGGTGTTATACAAACACTGGTGAAACCAGCATTTTATAAAAAATGAAAATAGAAAGTAATCAAAGAGTACTGCACATAATGAAGAACAAGCACTTTTTGTGAAAACTTTTGTTTCAGTTACATATAGTTATCTATATATATATATACTAGATCATTAGTATTTCTTAAGTGGGTTGCAGTCAAAAAAGTCTGAAAGTCATTGGGCAATTTCACATAATGTAACAAAGATGAAGTAACTATAAGGAACATTTTTATCAGTTAAAAATTATAGGAAGTTAATTATAGACTATAGGTAAAATACTGCCTTCTAAATTTTTCCTATTATCAAGTATCAACCTGTTCATTAAAAAGCCAGAGACATCAATAATAAAATAAAATACCAATTTGGCATCTATTATAGTCTATGAATTAAAAATTACAGTCAACATTGGTCTGTTCATTTTTATAGTGAGACTTTTGGTCACAAAACACAAATAACATAAGCAAATCTCTGAAAATTGTTACCTGGTCACTTCATATTCTATTCTAATGTCTAGTAACTATTGAGTTTTCTATTGTACTTACAAGTTGAAAGAATAAATTAAGACTAAAATTATCCATCACTACAGTAGGTAAAAAGAATCTTAAAATAACACATGAACTATTAAAATCAAATGCACAAATAATAGTTAACAAGAACATTTCAAAAATAAAGTTCAATATAAAAACCAAAACCTTATTTGAAAACAAGTATATAAAGAAGTTCAGGTTTCTTTTTGCATGAGTTTCTCTAAACTACCTTACTCTAAAAATCCTAAAATTCTAAATCCAAATAAACTTCTCTGGATCTCTGGAGAGGAGAATTACATCGCTCTTCAAAAAGATTAGGTTTTTTTTTACATTACTTTTTAATAATTTCTTCAAAGTAGCTAGAAATCCTTGTTGGTCTGTCCTAGCCCAGATTACTGATGATAAGACAACATTAAGTATTCTTAATTGTGACTGTACACTATCATCTCCAAAGTTATCCTAGAAAAGAAGTCCCATTTTTAGCCCGATCTTATAGGGAGGGAACTAAGGCTCAGAAATAAAGTAAACTGCCCAAAGCCATATAGCTAGTATGTCCTGAAGTTACAAATTGAATCCACTTTTGTCTGAGGCCAAAGCCATGGTGCTCCTAATCACAGAATTAGTACCTCCATGAAACATGCTACTTTGGAGATGGGAGCCATAGCGCATTATAAAGAAGAGAGCTGCAAACAAGAATTCCTTCATCACTCAATCACTCCCAGAAAAGGAAATCAGACAAGAGTGTCCAAACCCTACCTGGATTTGAACAAGCTGTAGGTGTTGGCCTCTTGTTCTTTATTAATCACATTACTTTTCTAAAAATGATAAAGCAATTGATGATTTTTATCTGCCATTACTCCTTTCTTTGGGCTTTTGAAAAAAGAACTTGCATACAATGCAAAAGTAAACTTCAGCAGAAAATTAGTTTATAAATAGAATAAATCCTATGGCCAATATATTTAAAGAAAAATGAATATACCCTTATAACTATAAAGAGCTCTACATAAACTAACTTTATATATTTAATTCAAGACACCATTATAATAAAAAATAGAATAAAATATATTTACCTCTTACTTGGAGAGGTTCTTGCTTAATAAGTGGAGCTTTCAGTTCTGCACCAATATTCTCTGCTGTAAAGTTCATTTTTAAAAAGTTACATTAAGCAGTTGTTTTCATACAAACCTATAAACAATTAATATTAGCTGACAATCTAGCAATGTATAAAAAAGATAATATTATTACATGGGCTTCCCTGGTGGCGCAGTGGTTGAGAGTCCGCCTGCCGATGCAGGGGACACGGG